AACAGCCAATTTATGCCATGAAATTCCATGTGTTGACCATGCCACTGGTTCAGGAAAATATTTAGATGCATGGCAGCTGGGGTGATGTACTTGAATTCCACCAGTAGGTAGAAGAAAAATACAGAGGCTCCAATTTCATTTTCACATCCTCTCTGCCTGCAAGAATTGAGAGGGTATAGGAAAGAATGGCGCTCCATTCTGAAAGTATAAGATAGTCTCTTAGTCTTCTTCTCCTGACCTGACATGATGGGGAAGGGCCATATGCAGGGATGGGAAAATACATATATAACATAGGAAGTGTGTGTGTGTGTGTGTGCGTGTGCATACAAAAAAGAAATAAAATAAAATACCAGTACATTCTTTACTGGATCTTTAAAATCCTAAACTTATTTAACAGGGACAAGTGCCAGTGAATCAAGTGAGACTTGCTTTGGAGTAAATGTTCTTTGGAGGTAGCTGTGAACATCTAGAAGATCTGAATTCTCAAGCAAAGCAAGGTTAGAACGTGCCTTTTCCAGGTATTCACATTCATGTTGCCAAGAGTCCTTTCATAGAAATTGCATGACACAAAGTCTTTTATAGGACATTAATTCTTCTTGACGCGTACCGGGCAGCTGTGTGTGCCAAGCCACAGTAAAATTAACCTAACAGAGGTGAGCTAAGTAGTTTGGAAAAAATGCAAGCACTTCTGACCAGAGGTGGCAAATATGGGTCACCTACAACCAATGGAGGAAATGTGCAAGATTCTAAGACTGGCCTTACTAGGTTACACACACGTGATCCCCGCAGCACCAGACGCTGTCTCAATGGGCCAGCTCTGACACAGCGATTGCGTTCAGGAGAAGTCATCTGGAATGATTCTTGTGGAAATGCGTCAGGGTATCATTCATGTAGCTTGCTCAGCATCAAGTACAGGCATTCCCCAAACACAGTTACAAAAATCTGTGTTATGAACAGCCTGTGCTTACAAATGAACTGCCATAAAGTCTGTTAATTTTTTAAAAACATTGCGGAAAATTGTCATCACCATAGAGAGAGAGAGAGAAAATGAAAGGCAAGAGAGGGAGGGCTTCCAAAGCATCACCATAGAGAGAGGTGAAGTGGAAGGGGAGAGCGGGAGGCCTCCAAAGCATACCTTCCTGCCCCACCCATCTGGGGAGCAGAATTCCTCCAGCATTTCTGGAGGCTAGAGATATTTGCGTTTTTTTTTTCACTTTCACGGGGGTCCTGTATCCCTAACCCTTGCAAATGCAGAGGGCTGACTATACATGATCCAACTTACATACAAATTCAACTTAAAGATGAATTTCTGTTCTCTCAGGAACAGAACTCGTTCATAACCAGGGGACTGCCTCTACTGCAATACCAGTTAAACCAGTTAAGCAGATGCAGGTCACAGGACTGCTTTCCAGAATATGCTAGGAATGATCAGCCTTGGGGCAAAAGTTGACCATCCAAAATTGGGCAAATGTATTTAAATAATGACCCATGTTTTTAAATAATGACAATCCTGTATTTATTTTTGCATGACTGAAAGCAAGTATAATATTGCCCAGTTTTTCAGAGGTACACAAGTGAATGCTGACAGTCATATATAGAGGGCATCGCTATTCTCTGATGAACTCTGGGCTTTTGGAACATTTACCAAATTGGTTTGGGTTTCATAAATGAATATAGATATTCCTAAAATGCCCATCTAATGCGAAGGAAGGACTCACTGGAGAAGCCCCTAATGCTGGGAACAATTGACGGCAAAAAAAGAAGGGGACGGCAGAGAATGAGGTGGCTGGATGGAGTCACTGAAGCAATTGGTGTGAGCTTAAGTGGACTCCAGGGGATGGTGGAGGACAGGAAGGCCTGGAGGAATGTTGTCCATGGGGTCGCGATGGGTTGGATGCAACTTCACAACTAACAACAACATTCCTAAAATGTGGACATTCCTTCCAGGCAGAAAAGTCAGCAACATTTTTAGCTGCTGTTAAGATAAGGTCTCCTGCTAGGAAGGTATTATTAATTCACTATTATTTTTAATTTGATAATTTTATCTTTTGTTTGCACTTTGCATACATAAATTGTAATGGCTGGCAGATGATGCAAATAATTCTCTGTCGGTCCATCCACCCACAGGATCAAAGAACCAGCCTATAGGAATAAAGTATCACATTCTAGGCTTAGTAAAGGATAATAATGAAGACCTGCAAGGCAATGGGATATTAGTGATGGAATATTCGTTCACTGCAAACTCCTGACTATTTAGAATTTAAGGGTTATGAAAAAGCTCTCTGATTGTATTTAGTAGTGGGTGCCAATATTTCTACTTTCCTATAAAAAATGCATTTTCTGAAATCTGTATGACAGTGTCAATAGCATATTGTGATACTGGATTGCAAAATTCACTAAGGGTACAAACCTGTCACTTGGACCCTTGATACTTATTAGCCGCCAAACTTGCTTTTGAGTGTCCAGTGCACAGTTGCGGGAGTGGCAAAGGACATTTCCACCTAGATTGGTATTGAGCCCAAAAGCTCTACAGAGGGACCTCCGCCAGATATGAGAATAAGAGGGAGTTGAGGATCCTAAACTTGAGGATTCAGGATGGCGGCAATACAATTAACAGGGGAGGAATCCCTGAGAACCCACAGCCCTTCTGAAGAAGAGCAGGGGATAGGGAGGGGAATGGGTGTGACTAATTCAAGGGTGTCATGTTACTTAAGCCAGGCAGACCAAGGGCAGAGATGTTCTAAGAGGCTGGCTCCCATAGATAAGGAGCTATCTTGAGGGCTTGGCATTGGGATACCCATTTCTGAGAAGGGAAGGGTGATTACTGCTAATTGGTCTGCAATCAACTTTCCGCTGGGTCATCGTGAACTAGTGGACTAGTTAACTGAAAGCTGACACAGCTTGTTCCTTCTGTTAGTGGCTACAGTAAAGTGCTTGATCCATAATCCAAAGTCAGTTTCTTCCTTGATTACAGTTTGGCAGAGTAAAAACTTGTGACTGAAAGAGCAGTTCCTGAGCCTGGTTCTTAAAGGGGAGAGAGTCCTACCCCAACAGCCGCCCCACTTGATTTTGGCCAGCTAGATGTGGTGCTTCTACGTGGGAGGAAAGGAGGTTGGAGCATTGACACATCCGGACTTATCCTGGAGCACCTCATATCCTGCCCCCTCCCCAGTCATCTCCCCTCTGTTCCCCTGCTCAACCCCTTTCCTGCCCCCTTAAAGCCCCTCTGAGATCACCTTTCCATATCTCACACATTTTTTTCCAGGTCAAGCTTGGGAGGAAGACTAGGATGCAGATCCATTGTGGCAGCTTTGTTCTGACCTCAGATCTGGGAAATTAAAGTATCCTATTGTCCCTAGACAGCATTCAGAAAAACCCTCTCTCAGGATGTCACTCCAAAATACATTGAAGCCATTCCAAGTGAATTAAATGTGTGGGCATTTGCAATACCATGCAAGGGACTGAGCTGCACACAGGCAACATGGTAAAGGATCAAAAAAAACCTCGAGGGAAAAGTGTTCACCCGCATTTGCATGGCAGGAAGTGCTTAGGACTACCAGGATTAAATACCTGGGACTGAGTTCACACAAGTGTACCTATTACTTCAGTGTGACATTGCTTCACAGATTCATGTTGTTGAGGGTAGGGGCACCTGTGAGGCATTTTGAATGTACTCTTCTTAAAATACCTGAATGGTTCTAGGAATGGGTTGGATCAAGACTTGGTCACACGTAGAGCCATGACTAATTTAAGCACCACTGATTTCAGTGGGTCTGCTGCAAGTATCCCTAAGTCTGGATCCAACCTACTTAGCCCAGTAACAGGACAAGGGGACTACTAGGGATAGTGCTCAGCTTGTTCCTTGCTCCTGCTGTTTCCTGAAGTGGAGTTTTTTCTGCCCCCAAATCTTGCTGATTCCAGCCTGTTTAATTCATTACATGGACCCCTGAGAAATTTCTGACCTTCATAAGCCTACCTTGGATTCCATTTCTGAATCACAGTCTGATGGTTGAGAGTTACAGAAACTCTCTGTACAATGTTACAAGGCAGGACATAGGAATTGGCTGATATACAAATGATAATTATACTGCACTTTTCAATACGCAGCAACATTTTACTATCTTTAGCATGAATGTAATGGTGCTAAGAGCTGGGCCCCTTCAAATAATATTTTATATATTTGGAACCAGGAATAGCAAATATTGGTAAAAGGTTATATACAATGTTAGTCTAACTTACATCCCATTCATTTTAGTGGATCTACTCTAAGTAGGATTAATATTGGCTACAACCCAAGGAATCCAATAACTCCTATGGCTGAGATGACATTTCAATACTAGACCTGGATTGTACAACAGAAAAGTCCAGCAGGAGTAACTACCCATGATGGGCTGGCATGTCATGCAAACCAAACCTCTTCCAGCAGGGTGACTTATTTTTCTGGGGCAAACCACCTAAGAACCCATAGCCTGATTGTCTGTTGGGCACACTCTGGGTTGCTCTGTGAGGCCACTGTGGGTGGTTAAGCATGAGGGACAGACATGCTACAGACTTTCCAGTGTCCTTTCTGAGTGAGCTACCGGATGGATAGCTCCTGGTACTACTGGTCAGTCTCCTAATACATCTTCCATGATTCGAAAAGTGCAACGCAATGGTGTCTGGTCCCTTGTAGCAAGCAGTGAATTGCTAGGTGACTGCATGATAACCCGACTTTAGCCTACTCCAGAATCAACCACAGGGAGGACAAGAGCGAATGGGCGGTGGAAACAGGGAGGAGGTGGCCCCTTTCAGGGAGGAGGAAGACATCCTGCCGCCCAGAACCTGGAGCCCGCACTGCTCTGTCAGCGCGACAAGTCACCCACTTGTACAAGGTCAAAAAAGAATAACCATTGAGACATCTGGCTTTTAAAACAATTTCTGAAGAATACTGAAGACAAGTGACTACAGCAACCCACCTGTATGGACTTTCGATCACAGAAATAGAAGAGGGACATGTTTACCTGATTTCAGGTGTTGGAAATCCTACCACAATGCAGTCCAACTGCACTTTGGTTCCTTCAGGGACCTCCCTGCTCTTCAGTTTCTGAGTAAAATGTGGTGGTTGGCCTATAGGCTCCTCAGAATAGAAAGATGTGGCTGATGGCTCGGTGGTTAACCCTGAACTTTCTAGTTTATTTACAGCTTCCAAGTCTGCCTCTTGAGGACTGGCTGGGCTTTCAGAGGAGTGCTCAGCTTTATCTAAATCTTGAGGTACGGGAATACAAGGCCTCTCTCTGTTTTCAGACAGATGGGAGAAACCAGAACCACTGTCTTGGGCAGCCTTGTTTTTAGATTCAAGTTTGCTCCTGTAGTTTTTGCACGTCCTGGGCCTGATTCTTTTTGAATTATGTGCTTTGAACAGAGAAGAAAGCTCCTCAATAAAATCTGCTGCTTTGTTGAGGAATTCCTTTTTGGACTCTGCCTCTGAACCAAATGATTGTTTCTTTAGGCCGCTGTCTGAATTTGGTGAGGCTGGAGGCTGGAATTGCTGTTTGTTTGACACTGCGTTTTTCAGCTCAGAGGGGTAAAAGACATGTATCTGCTCTTCTTGCTTGTTCTCCGGTGAATCTTGATTGATGGCTTGCCTTGCCAGGTTCACACTTTCGTCCAGCTCTTCCTGGCTCAGAAAGGCAGAAAGATCTGGAAGGTCATCTTGGCCAGCCACGTCTTCTGAAGTGCCAGGTGTGCTGCCACAGTGAAAAGAATGCAGAGATGGTTCTGATCTACTTCGTTCACTATTCCCTTGACGGTTGTTTTCAGCTAAATAGCTCTCTCTCAGAAGTTGGGTTATTGAAGTAGAAGATTCTGAAGTATTGTCTTGCATGCTGTTAACAAAGAATACAAAGAGGACCATAACCTCATCAATAGCAAACCTGTTGCAGGTATTGAATTAAAGAAGAGATGCAGGAAAGTTTCTATTCTGACTGCTATCTGGGTACATGGATTCTTTTTATATTTGTACTTGATCCTTATCTGGGACGGCCAACTTATGCATTCTGAGGAGTCACACTAACAGTGGTCTGGTATCTGAAAGTATATTTTGCTGCGCAATGCCTTTCTCCGCTCCCCACCAAATTCCATAACAAAGTTGCTAACATGATCAGATTAATCTGTCTTACATTGAATGATCCTTCTAGGTTGGTATTAGAAGGAACAAGCCTGATTCCACCTCCTCCTTCCAGTATCTGCTGGGGTCCCCACAGAACCAGCATGCCCTCAGATAACTCTCTTGGCCCTCACCAGTCTTCCTGTTCCTCCTGATTTTATTTATTTATTTTTCTTAAAGTTGCTTTTTAATTAAATAAGCTTTCATTGGGAGGCTAGAACACTTCAAAGTGGAGTTCTGCCACCCAGTGCCATTCATATTTGGGTTCAGAAAGGCAGTTTCAAGTTTTGGAGCTCAGCTCCCACTTCTGCCTTGCATGTACATTTTGGTGCAAGTTATTTTGCTTTTTGTCTCATCCCTTTTTGTTTTTAGCTTCATTTGCCACTGGAATACAGCCCTTGGGTGCTTCTCCCTAGCATTTGACTCTTGGACTGACAAGAGTTTTCCTGCTTTTCTGCTAAAGACTAATTAGGGTAAGCTGAAGATGGACAATAATTACTGAATCTGGAATGAGAGAGTAATCCTTGCTACACAGGACCTTTCGCTGCTGCCGCAGTTGCCCCGCATCATATTCTTTGCTCAGACAGATTGAGGATGCAATGCTGTGCCCACTTATCTGCAGGTAAGCTCCACTAGAGTCAATGGGACTTGCCTCTGTGGAGACACGGATAGGGCTGCACAGTTAGAAGGTTTCCGAAGCATTGCAAAAAACAGAGACAATAGTGTGGCGACCACATAGACACCTTCACTCCAGGTCCTTGAGGGCCGTTTGGTGGCACATTATCAATGGGCCCCTCCTTCCATGAGTCTACCTTTTTACCACTATTGTCAAGCCACTGCTATTGCTCCGCATTCTCTTTCTCAGCATTGTTAGCCCCGTCTCGTTTGACAGGCACAGAATCAAGAAGCAAGGAGGCAGTGATGCATCCGGTTGCTCCTTCTCAATACCACCTTGGCCCGGGCCAGAATGACGGGGCGCTGGGCAAATGGGGGGCAGTGAGGAAGAGGAGCGAGTCAGGGGCTCTTCCCAGTGGCTTCCTGGTGTGGTGTGGACACTCAGCAGGTGCTGTTCTATGCCTAGCTTCCACACTGGCTTCATATGTACATCGTGGACGATGTGTTTCTAAGACTGCTGTCAGTACATTAAGATGTACTGCTGCCTATTTTCAGCCAATGTTTGGAAGTCGATCTGAAGTTTTGTGCCATTTCCAGTCTCACACATATAACTATCATACTCTGCATGTATCAGAACATTTAGGAAAGTGGACAGTAGAAAGCCATGACTGGCAATGAGCTGGTCTGCACAATCAAACAGTCCACCATGGCTTATTTAAACCATGCTGGGTTGCAGTGTGTGCATTTTGAACCCTTTTCTATTTTGGAGAGTCAAGCATCATGGTTCATATGTTATTCAGATACAGGAATTAACAAGCATCTAAACAATCCTCACAGGACCCTAAAAGGACTATGGTTTCTCCAAGGGTTGTTTAAACCTCACAAAACCCACGGCTCCTGAATTTGGATGACACGACAAGCTTTGGCTGTAACATGGATACTGGGAATGGTGCCTGAAGGAACTACAGTGCTATCACAGCTTAAATAAATCACAGTGGGCCTTGGCGATCAATAGCAAACACAAGTATTAGTTAAAAAGCAAAGCACAAAAGTCACAATCTAACCAAAACATGTTAAAATCTTACCAACAGTTAAGCCTGTGTTTAAGCCTCTTGCTGGATTCAAGAAGACTTAAAATGTCTTATTGCTGGCTTATGTATAAAATTATCTGTTCATCTTCTGGGTGAGTGGTATGCCAGCTTTTTCATTTACAATTTTATATCCCACTTTTCCTCAGAGGAACTCCACATCTTATTGCACATCTCCCCACATTTTATACTCACAGGAGCCCTGTAGCTTAGCTTAAGTGAAGGGGATTGCTCAAACTCACCCACTATGTTCTACGGATGAACGATGAGACTCTGGTCCCAATCCAAATCTAAAATCAATGCACCACAATGGCTGTAGGATGTATTCACACGTTTTGTTGCAGACAAAGATCATGCATGGGTAAATATGAGGACGGTCAATCAATTAATGAGCAATTAATTAGTTGATTAATTAAACTTTCTTTTAATTGATGGATTGGAGTTGATGATAATTTTATATTAATTTGCATGTTATGAAAACCACAACATAAGAGCCTTTTTGAGATATTCCAGACCATGTATGTTAATTTACGTTTAAAGAAAAATGAATAATGTTTAATGAACAAAAGGATCATATTTAATATATATTATGTATTACAGGAGCACACCAAACAAAAATAACCCTTCAAAATAAACAAATATAGTCTTAACCTGTACACCTGCACAGTAAAATTTTCTCTTATTGATTGAAATTAAACCCTATTGATTGATAAATTGAAACATTAGTTGACTGACCTACTAATTTTGCTTAACAATGCTTCCAGTTCTAGTAGGTATATTACATTGATTAATAAAATATAAGTGTGACTAATCAATAAAGAGAGTCAGTAAATCAAAGCCCTTTCAAGTTGCAGGAATGACTGCAGTGTTGCCTGGTCTCATATGAAGGTTGAGATGGCAGAATAAATCCAGAAATGGCTAGAAAGGGTGACAATTTAGATGTAGTGAGAGTATACACTCCTGCCTTCATTGAAACAAGTAAGAGTCTTGTGTTTTCTCACAATTCATTTGATTCATGTGTACAAAACATGTACAAAACTCTCATAGATACAAACATGTAATGTCTGAATTGGTTCTTAGCCTGACTCCAAAAATTTAATATGGATCATTCAGGGTCATATCATTCTATCGAACTTTTGTTTGTTATTCTCAGCTGGTGTGGAGTTAATTCTTTCGCCCTATATTTAGTAAGGGAGTAGTTGGCTAGCAGTCAAACTGCTCACTGAGACGTGGTTTGCCTGCCTCATGTTTGGAGGGATTGTCATCAAGATGCAGCAGAATCAAATGAGAAAAAGCCAGGTTTGGGGTACTGGAAAAATAACAGTGTGATCCTCAGTATATTTACTCAGAAATAAATTCCACTGTGTTCAATGGAATTTATTTCTCATTGTATCCCAAGGATTGCAACCTAAGTTATATATAAGGACCGGGAGATGTACAGCTTTTGTATTTATAAGGAATTACACTCTTCACACCTGTTCACAAGAAAATAAAGGCTAATGCATGAGTAAATTCAAACAGTCTGCATTCTACAAACTGACAAGAAGGACTAATACAGAAATTAAGCAACATTTGTATTATGCACTGCAATTCAAACTTACTAATGTCTATTTTACAAAGTAGCTTTATTGAAAAAGGAAAGTGATTTTAAAGAGAAATTACTGGGAACTTACTATCTCTAGGCTCTATAGTCGTGCATAATAGTAAATTCAAATTAGATTAGCCTAAGTGTAGCAGTTTGCTTTTGGTTTGTGGGTTTAATTCTGCAACCATTGACTTGCTTCCTATGATGTTAATGTAAGGAAATTCATAGAAGGAAACTTTTCCCTTTCCTCCTCCATGCTGCAGCACCCCCTGCTTCCTATATTTTTCAGAAGCCTGCTGTTATCTGTCCAAATACGTTTTTGGGAGGAATTCCCTCCACTAACTTTCTTAAGTTAGTTTATCTTAGGATACAAGCCACTGAACTGGTTCACACGTAATGACAATAACCCATGGATTGTCATGCACAAGTGGGAGACTGTGCACCTGCTATATATTATCTCTGGTATTAGTGGCAATATAACCATTGGTGGGGAACATGAGTAGGAGGGGATTAATGTGGTCCTCCCAAAAGTATCTGTTTGGCCACTCTGGTAACAGATGGACCATTGGTCTGATCTAGCAGGACTAATTAATTCTCTGGTTCCATATCCATGGAGAAAATGATGTTCAAATCAGCTTTCTCTAATTGGTTGTCTTCCAACTGTTTAAGACTATAATGCCAAGGATTCCTAACCATTGACCTTGCTGACTGGAGCTGACAGGAGAGGAAGTCCAAATCTTTTAGAGGGCACCATGTTGGGAAATTCTGTTCTTAATGAAAGGGAAATATATTTAAAGAGGTGCACTGTTTTTGACCTACCAAGACAAGATTAAAATATTTTCCCACAGGCTAGTGTTATGACACAGTTTTGGATCTCCAATCCTTCTTGTTGATTATTTCTGAAACTTCCTTTTCATAATTTTATGATAGTAATATGACATTGTATTTTAACTGTCCTGGGGCATATTGTGGCTTAGAGTTAGTCTGGTTAAAGTGCAAAAGCTTTTGCTTCCTATCTCTGTCACCTTGCCAAATGCTGCTAAGAGTCTGTATCCAAAGACATCCAGTGAACTTTCCTCAGTCCCTGGAATTGTTATTATCTGTTATCTAGAGCAACTTTGCAGTGATAAAAAAGATCCTGCTTTAAATCACTCAGTGTAACAATGCTCTGTAAACACTATGCTTGCTTAAAATACTTGGTGTAATGTTTCTCTGAGTTGTAAATGCACTGGAAGGTGCTAATGCTGGTAGTAATGGCTTTCTTTACAAGCAAGGTCTTAGATGGAGGGTGAAGTAGTAAAGACGTCAGAACCAAGTCATCAAAGGTGAAAAGAAATAGAGATGTACAGGTATGTGAGGGGGTGTCATACGGAGGTGGGTAGAGACCTGTTCTCCCCTGCAGAGGAAGGCAGGAGGCGCTCCAACGGAGCA